TCCACCAGGGGAGGTCAAACAGTAGTGAAGTGAGAGCAACCATACACAGGAGGTCAACAGTAGTGGAGACCAACCATCCACCAGGGAGTTTTCAACCACAAGTAGTGAGTGAGACGACCATCCACCAGGGAGGGTCAACAAGTAGTGAGAGCAACCATCCACCAGGGAGGTCAACAAGTAGTGAGAGCAACCATCCACCAGGGAGGTCAACAAGTAGTGAGAGCAACCATCCACCAGGGAGGTCAACAAGTAGTGAGTGAGAGCGACCATCCACCAGGGAGGTCAACAAGTAGTGAGAGCAACCATCCACCAGGGAGGTCAACAAGTAGTGAGAGCAACCATCACAGGGAGGGGTCAACAAGTAGTGAGAGCAACCATCCACCAGGGAGGTCAACAAGTAGTGAGTGAGAGCAACCATCCACCAGGGAGGTCAACAAGTAGTGAGAGCAACCATCCACCAGGGAGGTAACAAGTAGTGAGTGTACGGAGCAACATTTTCCACCAGGAGGTCAAACAAGTAGTGAGAGCAACCATCACCAGGGAGGTCAACAAGTAGTGAGTGAGAGCGACCATCCACCAGGGAGGTCAACAAGTAGTGAGAGCAACCATCCACCAGGGAGGTCAACAAGTAGTGAGAGCAACCATCCACCAGGGAGGTCAACAAGTAGTGAGTGAGAGCAACCATCCACCAGGGAGGTCAACAAGTAGTGAGTGAGAGCAACCATCCACCAGGGAGGTCAACAAGTAGTGAGAGCAACCATCCACCAGGGAGGTCAACAAGTAGTGAGTGAGAGCGGAACCATCACAGGGGTGAGGTTCAACAAGTGGAGGGAGCAACATCCACCTGGGAGGTCAGACAAGTAGTGAGTGAGAGCAACCATCCACCAGGGAGGTCAACAAGTAGTGAGAGCAACCATCCACCAGGGAGGTCAACAAGTAGTGAGAGCAACCATCCACCAGGGAGGTCAACAAGTAGTGAGTGAGAGCAACCATCCACCAGGCGAGCAGTCAAACAAAGTAGGAGTGAGAGCAACCATCACCAGGGAGGTCAACAAGTAGTGAGTGAGAGCAACCATCCACCAGGGAGGTCAACAAGTAGTGAGAGCAACCATCCACCAGGGAGGTCAACAAGTAGTGAGTGAGAGCGGACATCCACCAGGTAGGTTCAAACAAGGAGTGAGAGCAACCATCACGGGGAGGTCAAACAAGTAGTGAGAGCAAACATCACATGGGAGGTCAACAAGTAGTGAGTGAGACGCGACCATCCCACCAGGGGAGGTCAACAGTAGTGAGAGCAACCATCCACAGTGGAGGTCAAAAGTAGTGAGAGCAACCATCCACCAGGGAGGTCAACAAGTTAGTGAGCGCAAACCATCCACAGGGAGGGTCAAACAAGTAGTGAGAGCAAACCATCCACCAGGGGGGGGGGGAGGTCAACAAGTATGAGAGAAACCATCCCACCAGGGAGGTCACAAAAGTATGAGTGAGAAGCAAACATCCACCAGGGAGGTCAAAAGTAGTGAGTGCAACCATCCACCAGGGAGGTCAAACAAGTAGTGAGTGAGAGCAACCATCCACTCCAGGAGAGGTCAAACAAGTAGTGAGGGAGCAACCATCCACAGGGAGGTCAACAAGTTGTGAGTGAGAGCGACCATCCACCAGGAGGTCAACAAGTAGTGAGAGCAAACCATCCACAGTCGCAGGTCAACAAAGAGTGAGAGCAACCATCCACCAGGGAGGTAACAAGTAAGTGAGGGAGAGCAAACCATCACCAGGGAGGTCAAAAGTAGTGAAGAAGCAACCATCCACAGGGAGGTCAACAAGTAGGAGAGCAAACCATCACCAGGGAGGTCAACAAGTAAGTGAGGAAGCCAACCATCCACCAGGAGAGGTCAACAAGTAGTGGGAGCCACCATCCACCAGTGAGGTCAACAAGTAGTGAGAGCAAACCATCCACCAGGGAGGGTCACCAAAGTGTGAGAGCGGGACCATCCACCAGGGAGGCACAAGTAGTGAGTGAGAGCACATCCACCAGGGGAGGTCAACAAGTAGTGAGAGCAACCATCCACCAGGGAGGTCAACAAGTAGTGAGAGCAACCATCCACCAGGGAGGTCAACAAGTAGTGAGAGCAACCATCCACCAGGGAGGTCAACAAGTAGTGAGTGAGAGCAACCATCCACCAGGGAGGTCAACAAGTAGTGAGAGCAACCATCCACCAGGGAGGTCAACAAGTAGTGAGTGAGAGCAACCATCCACCAGGCGAGGTCTACAGTAGTGAGAGCAAACATCACCAGGGAGCGTCAACAAGTAGTGAGAGTGAGAGCAACCATCCACCAGGGAGGTCAACAAGTAGTGAGAGCAACCATCCACCAGGGAGGTCAACAAGTAGTGAGTGAGAGCAACCATCCACCAGGGAGGTCAACAAGTAGTGAGTGAGAGCAACCATCCACCAGGGAGGTCAACAAGTAGTGAGTGAGAGCAACCATCCACCAGGGAGGTCAACAAGTAGTGAGAGCAACCATCCACCAGGGAGGTCAACAAGTAGTGAGTGAGAGCAACCATCCACCAGGTGAGGTCAACAGTAGTGAGTGCGAGCAACCATCCACCAGGGTGGTCAAAGTAGTGAGAGCAACCATCCACCAGGGAGGTCAACAAGTAGTGAGTGAGAGCAACCATCCACCAGGGAGGTCAACCAAGTAGTGAGAGCAAACCATCCACCAGGGAGGTCAACAAAGTTGTGAAGTGTGAGAGCAAACCATCCACAGGGAGGAGGGTCATCAAGTAGTGAGCGCAAACCATCACCAGGGAGGTCAACAAGTAGTGAGAGCAACCATCCACCAGGTGAGGTTCAACAAGTAGTGAGTGAGAGCAAAACCCCCCCCAATTTCACGTTGGGAGGTCAACAGTAGTGAGAGCAACCATCACCAGGGAGGTCATACAAGTAGTAGTGAGAGCAAACACCCCAGGGAGGTCATACAAGCAGTGAGAGCACCCACCACCAGGGAGGTCAACAAGTTGATGAGTCGAGAGCAACCAATCCAACACGGGAGGTCAACAAGTAGTGATGTGTGAGCAACCATCCACCGGGAGCGGTCAACAAGTAGTGAGTGAGAGCAACATCCACCAGGGGAGGTCAACAAGTAGTGAGTCGGGAGCAACATCACCAGAGAGGGCAACAAGTGGTGAGGAAGCCAACCAATCCAACACGGGAGGTCAAACAATTAGTGAGAGCAACCATCCACCAGGGTGTCAACAAGTAGTGAGTGAGAGCAACCATCCACCAGGGAGGTCAACCGTAGTGAGTAGAGAGCAAAACCATCCACCAGGAGGTCAACAAGTAGTTATGAGAGGCAACATCCACCTGGGAGGTCAAAAGTAGTGAGAGCAAAACCATCACCAGTAGGGTTTAACAAGTAGTGAGAGAGAGCAACCATCCACCAGTGGAGGTCAACAAAGTAGTGAGAGCAAACCATTCACCAGGGAGGTCACAAGTAGTGGTGAGAGCAACCCATCCACCAGGGAGGTCAACAAGTAGTGAGAGCGACATCCACCAGGGAGGTCAACAAGGTAGTGAGAGCAACACATCCACCAGGGAGGTTCAACAAGTAGTGAGTAGAGAGCAACCATACCACCAGGAGGAGTCAACAAGTAGTGAGTGAGGAGCAACCATCACAGGCGAGATAACAAGTAGTGAGAGCAACCATCCACCATGGAGGTCAACACGTAGTGAGGAGAAACATCTCCAGGGAGTGTCCAACAAGTAGTGAGAGCAACCATCCACCAGTGGAGGCAACAAGTAGTGAGTGAGAAGAACCATCCACCAGGGATGGTCAACAAGTAAGTGAGAGCACCATCCACGGGAGGTCAACAAGTAGTGAGTGAGGGCAACCATCCACCAGGGAGGTCAACACGTAGTGATGAGCAACATCACCAGGGAGGTCAAAAGTAGTGAGAGCGGACCATCACCAGGGAGGTCAACAAGTAGTGAGAGCAACCATCCACCAGGGAGGTCACCAAGTAGTGAGTGAGAGCAACCATCCACAGGGAGGTCTACAAAGTAGTGAGTGAGAGCAAACCAGTCCACCAGGAGAGGTCAACAAGTAGTGAGAGCAACCATCCACCAGGGAGGTCAACAAGTAGGAGAGACAACCATCACCAGGAGGTCAAACAAGTAGGAGAGCAACCATCCACAGGGAGGTCAAAAAGTAGGTGAGTGAAGAGGGCAACCATCCACAGGAGGTCAACAGTAGTGAGAGCAACCATCCCCAGGGATGTGTCAAACAAGTTAGTGAGAGAAACCATCCACCAGGGATGGTCAACAAGTAGTGTGAGTGATCAAACAAGAAAACGATTCAGAGTACCTGATGTGTATCCTCTTAATCGTAGGATATACATACTTGTATATACAGGAAAGAGACGGAGCTAGAGATATCTGTTAAACTTAGTCGCAAACTAGATTGCCTGTGACCATCGTAGACCGAAGGATGAAGATTGAGACGGAGCTAGAGATATCTGTTAAACTTAGTCGCAAACTAGATTGCCTGTGACCATCGTAGACCGAAGGATGAAGATTGAGACGGAGCTAGAGATATCTGTTAAACTTAGTCGCAAACTAGATTGCCTGTGACCATCGTAGACCGAAGGATGAAGATTGAGACGGAGCTAGAGATATCTGTTAAACTTAGTCGCAAACTAGATTGCCTGTGACCATCGTAGACCGAAGGATGAAGATTCAAACCATTCATCACAGACCGAAGGATGTTACACACACACACACACACACACACACACACACAACACATACACACATGCATGCATGCAATAATCGTAAGCAAGCGATACAAGATGCAAGACAACCACGGGGGGAGTTGACAGGGGAACGTTCTAGCTAGCTAGCTAGCTAGCTAGCTAGCTAGCTAGCGAGAGAGAGAGAGAGACAGAGAGAGAGAGAGAGAGAGAGAGAGAGAGAGAGAGAGAGAGAGAGACAGAGAGAGCTCACCTTAGCAGCAGGAGAAACGGAGACCCAGTTACCGGAGTCGAGGCTAAACTTGCCTTCGCCAATCCTCTGAAGGATATCTTCTGGGGTGTCATTGGGACCTTGAGCGAAAGGCGTCTGACTGTGGGAACAAGAAAAAATACCAGTCATTTATTGTAGTCGATATCAGGGGGTCAGTGACCCCTATCCTTGATTAATACAGATATACCTTACAACACACACACATACAAGCCAAGTGTTTATCGGCAGGTGCCTTTGATAACTAGTAATTACAACTAAACATACACACACGTACGTTTCGGTCTTGAGACCATCAGTTTAGGTTAATAAGGTTAGACGGCTGGAACGCATCCCCAATAAAACTGTTTTTAAGTCCCACTGAGCCGGTATGAAGAGTGAAAGTGAAGGTCTTGGTACTATATACATCACTAGATTAAGACATGTGCCGTAGTTAGGTATAGTACATCACTAGATTAAGACATGTGCCGTAGTTAGGTATCTTTTATTGATGAAACGTTTCGCCTACACAGTAGACTTCTTCGGTCAAATACAAACGGAATAGTAGTAATGAAATAAAGCTGATGTCATCAGTCCATCAACCTGAGGCGGTCAGTCCCTCAGCCTGGAGAAGAGTTCAGCACCATGGTCTGGAACAAGGCAGTCAGTCCCTCAGCCTGGAGAAGAGTTCAGCACCATGGTCTGGAACAAGGTGGTCAGTCCCTCAGCCTGGAGAAGAGTTCAGCACCATGGTCTGGAACAAGGTGGTCAGTCCCTCAGCCTGGAGAAGAGTTCAGCACCATGGTCTGGAACAAGGCAGTCAGTCCCTCAGCCTGGAGAAGAGTTCAGTACCATGGTCTGGAACAAGGTGGTCAGTCCCTCAGCCTGGAGAAGAGTTCAGCACCATGGTCTGGAACAAGGTGGTCAGTCCCTCAGCCTGGAGAAGAGTTCAGCACCATGGTCTGGAACAAGGTGGTCAGTCCCTCAGCCTGGAAGAGTTCAGCACCATGGTCTGGAACAAGGTGGTCAGTCCCTCAGCCTGGAGAAGAGTTCAGCACCATGGTCTGGAACAAGGTGGTCAGTCCCTCAGCCTGGAGAAGAGTTCAGCACCATGGTCTGGAACAAGGTGGTCAGTCCCTCAGCCTGGAGAAGAGTTCAGCACCATGGTCTGGAACAATACAGAGTTGAAGCACGAAAACTGAGTCTTAAATACTGTCGAAGGTGAGGTGTAAGATCTGTAAGACGTTGTAGGAGACGGGATCCACTAGTGTAGGAGAAATATGAACATGCACAACTCCTGCACGTCTTACTCTTCAACACAACTTGCTGGATCTAGTATTGTAGATGAATGGTTCAGAGAACCGACATGTTGTTAAATTAGACACATGTGCAACATGTTTCGCCATCTCCACGACTATGGTGCTCTTCGCACCTACTCCTAGGTTGAGGGACTGATTACCTCATCTTCTGTACATAGTTCTACTGTCTTCAAGTTATGTCCTGGAATCTGTATTGATAAAGCCACTGGATGGCGAAACGTCTACAATAAAGATACCCAGATGTTGCACATGTGTCTTACTCTCATCTTGGAGAATTGAGACACTTATGCAACACATGGGAATCTTTATTGAAGAAACGTTTCGCCACACAGTGGCTTCATCAGTCCAATACAAAGTAGAAGTGGGTAAGGAGAGTAGAAGTTTGAGGTAATCAGTCCCTCAACCTGGAATCGATGTGTTCAGTCCATCACTCTTGTAGGAAGAGAGTAAGACACATGTGCAACATCTGGGTATCTTTATTGTAGACGTTTCGCCATCCAGTGGCTTTATCAATACAAATTCTAGGACATAATTTGAAGACAGTAGAACTATGTACAGAAGATGAGGTAATCTAGAATTTGTATTGATAAAGCCACTGGATGGCGAAACGTCTACAATAAAGATACCCAGATGTTGCACATGTGTCTTACTCTCATCTTGTCGGTATTATATACCATTCGTACACAACTCTTGTAGGAAGTGCAGTATAGGGCCAGAGAGGTGGCTTATATACTGCGGTGAGATGAGGTGAAGCAGGAGGAGGCGGGGTCACAGTGGGACCTGCCACTAGTGTAAGTAGGTCGTCGTCCAAAGGTTGGGCAAGCGTTGTAGTCTTTGTACCAAGATCCCATGATGTTGCAGTGTCTGACAGATGTGATGAATGGTTTTGAAAACCGACAAGTTGAAGAATTGAGACACTTATGCAACACATGGGAACTGATTACCTCAAACTTCTACTCTCCTTACCCACTTCTACTTTGTATTGGACTGATGAAGCCACTGTGTGGCGAAACGTTTCTTCAATAAAGATTCCCATGTGTTGAACATTAAAATGGTATAAAATACCGACAGGTTGTTAGGTAAGACACATATGCAACAGTTAGGTATCTTTATTTTCGAAACGTTTCGCCTACACAGTAGGTTTCTTCAGTCGAGTACAGAAAAGTTGATAGAAGCAGAAGAGACTTGAAGACGATGTAATCAGTCCATCACCCTTAAAGTTTTGAGGTGGTCAGTCCCTCAGTCTGGAGAAGAGCATTGTTCCATAGTATGAAACAATATGGAGATGAAGTGACAGGATGGAGCTTTTTATAGCGCCAAGAGGTGAGACGTAGGTCACTAGGAGAGGTAAGAACTCAGATGTTGGGAGGTCAGGTTGTTAGGTAAGACACATGCTCTTCTCCAGACTGAGGGACTGACCACCTCAAAACTTTAAGGGTGATGGACTGATTACATCGTCTTCAAGTATCTTCTGCTTCTATCAACTTTTCTGTACTTGACTGAAGAAGCCTACTGTGTAGGCGAAACGTTTCATAATAAAGATACCTAACTGTTGCATATGTGTCTTACCTAACAACCTGTCGGTATTTTATACCATTTTAATGTTCAATCTGTCAGACACTGCAACACAAGGGTATCTTGGTACAGACCTGCAATCAACTTCGACAACTTCCACTAGTGAGAGGGGCTGGATTTGAGAGGGACCTGACTTCTCAACATCTGAGTTCTTACCTCTCCTAGTGACCTACGTCTCACCTCTTGGCGCTATAAAAAGCTCCATTCTGTCACTTCTTCTCCATATTGTTTCATACTATGGAACAATGCTCTTCTCCAGACTGAGGGACTGACCACCTCAAAACTTTAAGGGTGATGGACTGATTACATCGTCTTCAAGTATCTTCTGCTTCTATCAACTTTTCTGTACTCGACTGAAGAAGCCTACTGTGTAGGCGAAACGTTTCATAATAAAGATACCTAACTGTTGCATATGTGTCTTACCTAACAACCTGTCGGTATTTTATACCATTTTAATGTTCTATCTGATAGTTCCTGATAGTTCCGGATAGTTCCTGACTATGGAACTGAACTTCTCCAGGCTGAGGGACTGACAACCTCAAATTCTTCGACTTCAAGGGTGATGGACTGATTACATCGTCTTCTCTACTGTTCCTGCCTACTTTCTGTATTCGACTGAAGAAGTCTACTGTGTAGGCGAAACGTTTCGGAATAAAGTTGCCTAACTGTTGCCTATGTGTCTCACCTATCAACCACATTAATGACATACTACTAAGAACATAAGAAAGAAGGAACACTGCAATAGGCCTACTGACCCATGCGGAGCAGGTCGATGTCCCCCCACGGATTATCCCAATGACCCACCCAGTCTGGTCATCCCCACTCAAGGATGGAGCACTGTACCAGACCCAGCAGCACAAGCTAGTCAGGTCCAACTCGCACCCACTACTATATAGAGAGCCCCTTGTTATGCTGAGCATTTCCGGTAAATTAGGTCAGTTTTGTCCCAGAATGTGACCCACACCAGTCCACTAACACCCAGGATGCGACCCACACCAGTCCACTAACACCCAGGATGTGACCCACACCAGTCCACTAACACCCAGGATGTGACCCACACCAGTCCACTAACACCCAGGATGCGACCCACACCAGTCCACTAACACCCAGGATGCGACCCCACACCAGTCCACTAACACCCAGGATGTGACCCACACCAGTCCACTAACACCCAGGATGCGACCCACACCAGTCCACTAACAACCCAGGATGTGACCCACAACCAGTCCACTAACACCCAGGATGCGACCCACACCAGTCCACTAACACCCAGGATGTGACCCACACCAGTCCACTAACACCCAGGATGTGACCCACACCAGTCCACTAACACCCAGGATGCGACCCACACCAGTCCACTAACACCCAGGATGCGACCCACACCAGTCCACTAACACTCAGGATGCGACCCACACCAGTCCACTAACACCCAGGATGCGACCCACACCAGTCCACTAACACCCAGGATGCGACCCACACACCAGTCCACTAACACCCAGGATGTGACCCACACCAGTCCACTAACACCCAGGATGTGACCCACACCAGTCCACTAACACCCAGGATGTGACCCACACCAGTCCACTAACACCCAGGATGTGACCCACACCAGTCCACTAACACCCAGGATGTGACCCACACCAGTCCACTAACACCCAGGATGCCACCCACACCAGTCCACTAACACCCGGATGTGACCCAAAACCAGTCCACTAACACCCAGGATGTGACCCACACCAGTCCACTAACACCCAGGATGTGACCCACACCAGTCCACTAACACCCAGGATGTGACCCACACCAGTCCACTAACACCCAGGATGCGACCCACACCAGTCCACTAACACCCAGGATGCCACCCACACCAGTCCACTAACACCCAGGATGCGACCCACACCAGTCCACTAACACCCAGGATGCGACCCACACCAGTCCACTAACACCCAGGATGTGACCCCCACCAGTCCACTAACACCCAGGAGCGACCCACACCAGTCCACTAACACCCAGGATGTGACCCACACCAGTCCACTAACACCCAGGAGTGACCCACACCAGTCCACTAACACCCAGGATGCGACCCACACCAGTCCACTAACACCCAGGATGCGACCCACACCAGTCCACTAACACTCAGGATGCGACCCACACCAGTCCACTAACACCCAGGATGCGACCCACACCAGTCCACTAACACCCAGGATGCGACCCACACCAGTCCACTAACACCCAGGATGTGACCCACACCAGTCCACTAACACCCCGATGTGACCC